TGCTCAGCTCCTCTACAGTCTGGTGCAGGGGGTGAGAGGAGTTGTCCATGATGGATGTGAGTTTGGACAACACCCTCCTCTCAGCCACTTCCTCTACTGAGTCCAGAGGGCAGCCCAGGACAGAAGTGGCCTTCCTCACCAGCTTATTCAGTCTCTTTCTGTCCCGCTCTGAGCTGTCAGGGGCCCAGCAGACGACAGCGTAGAGCAGGGCTGAGGCCACCACAGAGTCATAACAGGTAATACTTTTTGGAATATTATCTTGTGAATATGTACATTTTATTTGTTTGTTTAAATCATTATGTGCATGTGTGGATTTTATCCTGTGTGTGTGTGTGTGTGGATTGTGCAATGTATGTGTGGATCTTGTCTTATGCAAGTGTGGATCACATATGAGATAAAAAAAAAAATTAATATTTTTTAAGAAGCAGAACTACAATAAATTAAACTGGAACCACTGTGGGGAAATAGTACAATAGAACATGTTATATACATATAGTAAAATGGGAAATAGCCTGTATTTGTATAGCACTTTCTGTTCCCAAAGTATCCACTCACCCATTCATAAACACATTCATATGCCAAGCTGTATTTTAGATGTTTATTTTTTTTAAACACAGTTTATACATTGCAAATTTCATACTGAGCCATATCCCCTAAATGAACTTAAATATATTTAATGTTTAGAAACTGTAATCACAAATGATTTGGAGACAATAGTCATACTTCATTTTGATTTTTAACATAGATATTGGACATAGATTGGAGATAGATAGTCCTCCTCTGCCCCTATCAGCAAAAAAGGTTTAGCTTCGCCACTGACCAGAATAAAATGTCCCGACATTAAGAGATTAAAATGGTAACATTACGAGATTAATTTAGAAAAAAAACTGACAAAAAAAGAAATTGGAATACAATGAGAATAATCCCATATTATGGGATTAAAGAAATAGTCCTCTTCTTTCATAAACTATCAGAAGAAAGAGCAGCATTTCCCACTGAATTTAAATGCTTTGCTCAGTTTAGCTGCTCTTAGTTGATGAGTCAAATCAAAGGTTTCATTTTATCTTTTTTTTTCTCTTAATATAATGATTTTACTCCAAGATTTTGAGGACATTATTGACGTAATATGGAAATGACTGCATTTTTCCAATTATTGTTTATTCTCCAATTGTAACAATGTAATTGTAGTAGCTGAAAAAAATCTTAGTTTGATACTAATAAGCCGTTGTAAAATTTTGTAAACTATATAAGAAGGAAAAAAACAAACGAGACAACTGAAAGATAAAAATTGTCTCTTTTCCAGCCGGGTGCACGTGTATGGAGGACCAACTCTGCCAGATCTAAAAAAATAAATACAGAAAAAATTAATAAATGCTCAATAAATAAATAAGCATACAAGTAATTGCCCCCAAAAATACAAACAACAAATAAATGTTGGTAGAAATTAAATTATACAGTTAGACATTAATGTATATATCTCTTTTAACTAGCTTCTTCATTTATTAGCCTTTGTAATAATTACCTTATTTATTTATTTTCCATAATATTCTTCAAATTTATTTATTTATTCATTATTTTTTTCCTGTTCTAATGAATTGAGAAACGGCCACTGACTTCAGACCTGACTTCAGACTCTCCTCTCCTCCTGTAGATTCGACATATGTAGTAAATGCTAACTGACCAATGAGCAGAAGTTGACTCTCTAAGACACACCCTTCCTCATTTGCATAAGGTGGCACAAATGCAAACAGAAATGTAAATACGACAAGCAGAAATAAATAGCGTTGAAGAAATAAAGAGGGTAAAAAAATGCAAATGCAGAATAAAACAAACAAAAATATTATAACATGCACATAAATAAATGCTTAAAAAACAAATAACACATAAAGTTGAAGATTATAACGGACAATAAATAAATAAGGTCATTATTACAAAGGCTACATTAATGTCTCACTGTATAATTTAATTTCTACCTACCTTTATTTGTTTATTGTATTTTTGTGGGCAATTAATTGTATGCTTAATTATTAATTGAGTATTTATTTATTTATGTATTTATTTTTAAAATTTGGCAGAGTTGGTCTTTACTCGTGTTCATGTGAAATGAGAAACGGCCACTGACTTCAGACTCAACTTCAGACTCTCCTCTCCTCCTGTAGATTCATACAATTAATTGTATGCTTATTTATTTATGGAGTATTCTTTTTTAAATATGGCAGAGTTGGTCTTCCATACAGATGCATCCTTTATGCATCTTTCTAAACGGGGAGAAAAAAAGAAAAGAGGATCTCGGAATAGAGAGAGAGAATAGAGAGAGAGAGGGAGAGAGTTTCTAATCCGCTAACTGCTGGCGTTTTTTTTTTCTTTTTCTGCTGGCTGTTTTCTATTGAGAGTATGAATCAGTCCGATGTCAGAAGAAATAGAGACAGCCTTTTTATGTATTCACCATATCCCTGCTTGTAAAAACAACAGGCAGAAATGGCGTTGAAGAAATAAAGAGGGTAAAAAAATGCGGAGGCAGAATAAAACAGACAAAAATATTAGAACATGCGCATAAATAAATACTTAAAAAAATAAGTAATAAATAAAGTTGAAGATTACAACGGACAAAGAAGCTAATTAAAAGAAAAGAAGCTAATTAAAAGAAAGATATACATTTATGTCTCACTGTATAATTTAATTTCTACCTGCATTTATTTGTTTATTGTATTTTTGGGGGCAATTTATTGTATGCTTATTTATTTATTGAACATTTATTTATTTATGTATTTATTTTTAAATATGGCAGAGTTGGTCCTAACTCGCATTCATATGAATTGAGAAACGGCCACTGACTTCAGACTCGACTTCACACTCTCCTCTCCTCCTGTAGATTCATACAATTAATTGTTTGCTTATTTATTTATGGAGTCTTTTTTTTGTTGTTTAATATGGCAGAGTTGGTCTTCCATACAGATGCGTCCTTTACGCATCTTTCTAAAAGGGCGAGAAAAAAAAAGAAAAGAGGAGCTCGGAATAGAGAGAATAGAGGGCGTGAGAGAGAGAGGGAGAGAGTTTCTGGTAATCCGCTAACTGCTGGCGGTTTTTTATTCCGCTGACTGTTTTCTAGTGAGGGTGTGAGAGTGTGAATCAGTCCGGTGTCAAAGGAAATAGAGACAGCCTTTTTATGTCTTCACCACATCCCTGCTTCTGTCAGTCGGAGATAAAGGCGTCCACCAAAGCTCAGTAAACTTGATTCCTCCACCAACCGTTAGGGAGCGGAGAGGGTCTCCTGTTCGGCAGCTCGTGGTGAGTGGGGCCGATCTGAAACGCTTTGGGTTCGGGGAGAGGGGGAAAGCCCCCTGCTCGGCCTGCTGGAGGTTGGTATTAAACAACCTCCACATGTAGAGAGAGCTGAAGAAAACATCGTATCTGCCAGTTTAATGTGTCGGGTATTGTTTTATAATTGAATTGTTTAAATAGTATTTTTATTTTAACGTTATTTTGGAAACTTGTGTTGGAATTTACACAGAAATGAACGGGTATCGGTTGATGATGGGAATAATGAGCACGTAAACTGAAATTCTATTAAATGTGTTCACTTTTCTAACCTTATATATATGTCCGATTAATATTTATGAATATATTTTCACATAGGATGCGCCTACAGGCGTAGCTATCCCGTGTTTTGTTTCTTTTTTCTCAGTTCTAACTTGGAGAGGCTTGTTATCTAAAGCTGCTCTTGTTGCTTTTTGATGGTTCCATCCCAAATAACGTCATATATCGCTTATTTCCTGGGATTTCAGTTTTATTTGCTTTTCAGAGCAAATAAAACTCTCATACAGTATATGAGCAGGGGCGGTTCTAGACCAAATGTACCAGGGGGCCACGAGGGCGCCAGCGTGTTTTCATGGGGGCCCAGAAAAGCATGAAATGAAAAACAGGAAAAAGGAATCGAATACATTAAGAGAGCTGCATGA